AGATGTATCTGAGCCAGTGCCTTAAATGAAGTGGAATAGCCTCAAGTTCAGGTTGTCCCCACTGACCCCCGCAGCACTCACATTTGCATTTGCATGAGAATAACCCAAGTGACCATTCAGCCAGCTCAGGGCCACTGAACTGCTCTTTCTCTCAGCATTAGACACTTTTCTTGAGACATGGCAGGAGAGATGGAGACTCCAATACCCTTCCCATACCAAATACACATTGCCTTGTCCACCCAGCTACCAGCTACGCTGGTATGCCCTCTGCCAGGGCTTGTCTTGCCCAGCAGAGCCCCAGGCCTGTCTCTGTCTGACAGAGCTTACCACGGTGGTCTCTACAGGACTCCAGGGTAAGGTGGAGTCTGCCTGTTCTGTTTGTTTATTTACAGGGGATGAAAGCCAAACTGGGAAAGGACTTCGGTACAGTGCAGCCAAGTGACTATAAAGTACTGCTTAAAAAAGCCACAAGGTCACCTTTACTGACATTTGGATAAGGATTTTATAGAAGTCACAGGACTGGGAGATGGGCTTGTTGTGCCTACAGAGCAGAGATTTATGTGCCCGTCAAGAAGTCTGCATTGTTGTGACTCTCTCATGTTCATAAACGCTCGTTTATTAGCCTGTTGAATAAAAGAGGCTGATTGGGATTTCTCTTCTCACTTAACTGTAGTTTCAGGTGGCTTCTTTGACTCTGCCAGCCTGCCTTCATGAAATTTAACAGCCCCTTACTTACCAGTACTCTCCAGGTGCCATGTCCTTGCACGGTCTGTCTTCTCACTCGTTAGACCATAGCAACACTTGGTTTCATGGCCATATTTAATTTAAGTACAATGTGAGAACTAATATATATAATCCTCTCAGACAAAGAACCAGCACACAAGCACGCTGGAATCTGAAGGACTGGACAGAGGGGCTTTGCTAATGATGTGTGTTGTGAACCTGATGCTTGTGTATAGATATCCATATGGGTTTGTGTGCTCAGACTCTGATTGTTAAGACCTGCACAGCCTGAACAAACAAGGATGCAGTCTTGAGCAAACCTGAGAGGAATGAGTCCAGGAAGGAGGAGGACATGCTCTGATGCCATGCACTTTCTGGAAAAAACATTATAGGAAAGCAAGTCTACATCAAAGAAACACCTGGCTCCACCACTGGTTTCTTTTCCTCAGTGGCATAATATACAGGACAGGTTTTGGCCAGGTGGTAGAAAACATAGGCATTGTGACAAAAATTATCCTAATCTGAAAGCATGTGCTATAGGTGAGCATTTAAGTCTCCTTATTATATTACAGTGTCATATAAATATTTCATGCTTTAGGCACTGTCTGTGCTTCAATACCCAGAAACCAGACATATCCCTGCCCTTTCCTCACATTAGCCCTGCAGGGAAATGTAAACATGAAAAATACCACAAGCTTTGTGTTAATGTCCTAAATATTTAACATAATTAGTCACTGGAGCCCCATCCCTTTCTCCCACTGAGGTGACAGACAAATCACAGGATTAGTAGTATGGTCCCCAGTACTTGCTCTTTGATGCCACTTGACGTTGGCAGGTGTATTGAAGCCAGGCAGGATCAGCAGGCAGAAGTAAAGACAAGGGGGACAGGCAGCACAGCCTGCAGTATTGTACCACGCCTGGGGCTGACTGGATCATTTGCCCTGCGCCCGGGAAGCGAGGTCCTGCTCCCTGCGTCTGGGATCCTGATGAGTCGCTGGCATCTGACACCAAAGCCTGAGAGAATGCAGACAGGTCACTGGCTCGGTGCCATGGGGAGCTCTGCCATGCAATGGAAACTGCATCAGTGGGAGAAGAATAGTATTTCAAGTACAAAGCAGCAAGGATGTTTTTCAACCTAAGGGCGGATGCAGGTGCATAACCCATTTGCTGCCAGAAACAGCATTATTAGCGTAAAATAAATTGCAGGAGTGCATGGAAAGCATAGGACAGCCATAAGCCTGACGTGGCTGTAGCCAGTATGTACGTGCTGGAGCAAGTAGGCTGGGCAGCCACACAATCTACATCCCTTGTGACCAGGAATGTGTATGTGACACCAAACAGTGCTAATGGGGAGGAGGGCTGGGCACAAGCCCGTAGGACTCATCTTCCTTATGTAAAGCTGTGCTTGGAAAGGAGGCAGGAAAATTTCTGGGCTTATGCTGATACAGTTTATCTCCACTAAGGTACTTTGTCCCATACATGACCCAGAAAAGCGACATGTTCTAGTAGCAGAGTGGAAAGGGTGTCTCCAACACAGATGCTGAATCAATATAGCATGGAGCTGAAAAATCTTTTCCCCCTATACCCTTTCCTCTGGGAAACTTCCCCTGTCCCAGAAGCAGAAGCTGTTGCAGGAGCTTTATAGACTCACTGTGTGGGAATTACATATATAGCTACACTATGTTAGGACGACAGCCAAGGGCATACTGAGTACCCAGAGTAGCAAAGATGCAGACATGCGGATTTCACCACAAGCATCCCAACCCACTGAGCCTGCTGGAGCTAGCTCCACTGTTGCTGGTATCTGAACTTGCTGGTTCATCTCAGCTCGTGCATCTTCACTGGGCACAACCAGAAAACCTACATTAGGCCTCACGTCTGACCAGCACAGGTTTAAGTATGGTATGGTCCCTAGCGCACTGGCACAGAGGGGTAAGGCAGGTAGAGTGAAAAGTCAGTGCTCCCAATGGACCTACATTTATTCCAGGTACCTAATAACCAGTAGCTAGATACAACATATATACAAACCTTCCCTCCTCCACCATGCTGCCCTACATAAAAATATCTAGAGATGACTCCAGTTCCACTCAGACTGACAGAGGCAGCTGACATAGCAGAGCTTTTAATCCCAAAGCAGAGACTGTTGTCACTGGCAGGAAATCTTATTGTGTTGGACAGATGATCCTAAACCTTAATTAACTGGGTTGCCCTCCCCGCAAAGCCAGACAGACTAGACTGGAGTCAGATGAAGCAAGTTGCTTAAGCCAGGGACCACCTGGCTGTAACTTCATCTAGGTGATGGCATATGCTTTTGTGACCCTCTCTGAAAGCTTGAAACCCCAAGCAAGCTCCCAGAGGTAAAGTGAGGATTTATACAGAGCAAGAAACCAGAGATGCTCTGTTCTGGGAAGGAATTCATTCCTCCTCCTTTCAGAGACTGAAATTTTGTGGCCTTTGCCCTGACCAAAGACACAGCAGATCATGCTGGTTCAGGATTGATTTTTCAGGGAGCGAGTGGCTCCTCCTCTGTCTCCATTGCACACTGGGAGTGCTTTGAACCAGACCTTCCTAGTAGCTCCTAATACCGAGCACCTCGTTTTTCTTCCTCATGCTTGCCCTCACACTGTCTCTGTGAGGTAGGGCGCATTACTTCCTCCATACCAGAAAAGAGCAGCCGTGTCGACTCCACGCGTTTCCCCTAGCCAAGACCCAGCTGCTTGCCTCTGTAGCATCCCGCTGCTGTGCCAAGATGTGACCCTGCCATGAACGCTCTCGGCCCTGTGCAAATATATAGAAAGACAGCAAACTGCCCATCTACCTTGCTTTCTGCATGGAGACAGCTTGAGTGTGTATGCCAGAAGAGACTGCAGCACCCTACTGCTGAGGCCCTGAGAGTTATAAGGATGGAGGAAGAGGAGGGAATGAGGAACCCAGTGCTCACTGTGGGGTATAACTGTCCCTACGATTATGTCCAGCCAGAGAAACTGCACAATTCCCAAAGAGTCAGCTAATCTGCTGCGAACCTGGGTGTCAGGTCAAGACCTTGCACTCAAAAACCCTTTTCAGGCTTCAACCATTTATGACTAACCCTTGGGCAGCCTTGGGCACAACATGGCCCTCAGCCTTTCCCCCATCTCACTAAAATTAGGTCACTTGCACCTCACTGCGGTACCAGGATGGGGAGAGGGCAATGGGCAGAGACAAGCGCCTTGCTGTTGCATCTGTCCCTTAAGCTCCTCTGTAGTACATGTGTTTATGTCTGTAGACTCAATGCAGCAAGCGCTGCAGAGACATTCCAGCAAAAATGAAAAACTGTGCAGAGACCGGAGCGCAGATCTCAAGAGCGTACGCTGCCATCACAAGCTTACTCCTGGGCTCAGCAGCCCTGCTTTCCACTGCCTGGAGGAAGCAACATGTTGTGCTGCTGTGGAACAGCAGGCTTGCCCGTGCTACTTCCTGGTAAATAAGCACAGAGCCTTCCCTCACCACGTCCCCCTGCAGAGCAGTGGCCATGGCCTGTGGTCAGGGAGCACTTCTTTCAGCTCTGGCTGAGTCTAGGTTGCCTTTTTGTGTTGTGAAGTTCAGTAACCAGGTCACGACCCCGTGGTGACATCTGAGTGCCCCGAGTCCCCCGGCTCAGACAGATGCCACGTGCCACTCAAGTTGTGGACTGACTCTGCAGGATGCAATGCAGCCAAATACATATCCAAAACACCTTTCCGCTTTATCCATCTCCCCGACTTCTCACTGGAGTGCCTGTAAAGCCAGGAGCAAACACACAACACTGGTGCAGGAATTTTTATTTTCTGAGAAACACATACTTTACTCCCAGTGCAACAGAACTTCGGATGCATAGCGCTGGCTGCCAGAAACCTACAGATCGCGGGAGTACTGCTCTTTATAGTTTTGCTAACATGAGTTTAGCAACTAATACAAGTTTCCAAGCTGGCAGACTCTGGAGACTGACTGGCTGCATTCACCCCAACAAAGAAGGGTAATACTGTGCTGGAAGCTGTCCACAGTAGCCTGCTAACAGTCTCACCTGTGGGAGGAATGGGACACTGTGCCTCCGCTTCCCATCCTGACATCCTTCTCATAACCTTTGAGTCATCCCATCACCCTCTCGTTCACCACACTCCTCAACACTCCTCTTGTTCCTCCACATCCTTTCATCTCTGGCCATGTCATTCCCCAATCAGATGAGACTGGTGTTTGGGGAGGGGGAAAGAAAAAGAGGATAGGGATAGGCAGAAGCTCATAGATAACCTCTTACATTATTTTTCCTAAGAAAGCAGATTATTTCTCTTGTATACATGAAGCCAGGAAACAACGGTTTATCATGGATATCATTCTGAGTGACTCTACACTGCCTGGAGTGACTCTTGGCCTCTCATCAAAGCTTTCCCACACATCTTGGATGGCCAATTGTGAGATGTCCAAAACAGTGCTGGGGAAGCTACTCTAAGATGTATGGCCAGGCATCCACCATGGTGTCCCTCTGTGCATATATGCTAACCCTGGAAACCAAACTCCTTATACTTGCTGGCCATATCGTTTCGGAACAGCTCTAGGGCCTTCTTCATCGCAGCCTGGGAATCAGCCCCAAAGTCTGCAGGGTGTTTTTCAGCAATGACCTTGATAATGACTTCAGAAATGAACTGTGAGGAAGGAAAGAGAGAGAGAAAAACAGAAGGGACAGTCAAGGTTTATTTTCAGAAAAGCCAGACTAAGAAATAGGTTGCAGTGCCTGGAAATATCTCCGAGCTAATTCAGTAGCCCTTCCCACAGTCTCTGGAGAGATAGTGAGGTCTAGCTTGCAAGGAGCCTGGGCTGGGCAGAACTGGGCTCTATTCCTAGCTCTGATGCTGATCTGCTTCATGACCTTGAGTAGACCATGGCCCTTCCCACTCTCTGTCTGCCGTGTCCATTAAGGCTGAGAATTCATGTTCTGTGTTTGTACACCACCTAGTTTTGTGAGTCTTGGTCTCCAGTGGATCCTCCAGGGCTTACTCTAAAATTGTACGTCCCTTGTGTCCAGCCACTGACAATTCTTATGTAATGTGGTTTCCCAGGCATGCAGAGGCTGCATGGGCTGGTTTATTATTGTCAAGGGCTGCTCAGACTTCATGTGGTATTTGGAATGGGAAATCTAAGCTTGGAGGTTCACATACCATTTGCATACCATGTGCCCTTTCAGTGCCTTGCCCTGCCTATACACACAGACCTAGAACTTGAGGGAGAGCTCACTTAAGTCCAACCAGCCATCAGTAAATAAAAGCACGACTTTCAGTAGCTGTCTTGCACACATTCACTACACATCAGACACCAAGATTCCCTGCTACTTTCCATACCTCCAAATATTTGACAGGGATTTTGTGCTTGGTAGCATGAGTTTGAGCCAGGGGCTTCAGCTCTGACTCATGATTACCCTTCTGCTTCAGGATTTTGCCCAGCTGGGTAAGGACGGTAGCTCCATGTTTCTTCAGATCTTCAGAGGCCTTCATCTGATCAGGGGTCTTCAGGCCTTTGAACTTTTCAAAGCGATCCAAGGTCTCAGGGTGACTCTGAAAGAGCCTGTGGACAGAAGTAGAGGAATTTCTGAGACTTGAGAGAGCTGTCATCCAGACCAGTGCTGAGGTCCAGCTGCACCAGGTATTGCAGAGTACTTGGACAGGCAAAAGTATGATAACCCATTTCCCTCCCCAAAGAAATCTCTTTGCTAGTCCCTGCTAGTAGACGCTACTTTAACCTGGGAACTCTGACACTTTAGGTCTTTTCCAAATTACCACCAATCACAATCACTCCATTTAGCATGTATATATGCCAGGGAAGCATCTGACCCTACTCTCAATCTGGTTTCAGTGTTTTTCATCCTTCCTCTGGTAGGTTGTTCCCCCCTCAGCCCAGCTGCAAGCACTGCATTTCCACCATCGTGAACTGCGGTGCCTCCAAGAGTCCTTGGGAGCAAGTGGGTAACACGATCGCAGGGCCTTCAGGCATGCTGGTGCCATGTCATGCAGTGCTATACACAGACACTCTGATCCCAAAATGGAAATGAAATCAAGAAGGTGGAAGGGTGGCTAAAAGCCAGGCTAGTGTTGTGCCCCCTTGCTTCCTCGCTCCTGCACTTCCTAGGAGACAGGATGCAGACACCACCGGCAACCAAACTAGTAGGAAATTTCACTCTTTTCCATGCCAGAGTCTTAGAGCTCAGGTGAAAAGAGGATGCTGCCTGTCCTGGTTATTAGAAGCAGTCTAGTAATTAGGTGTTGAGAGACATCAGCTCTCTTGCACAAGTTTATTTTCAGGTGTTATACTCTCCAATGGGCATAATCCAACCAGTCGAAGCACCAGCAAAAGCAATGGCTGTCTTTACAGTCAAGGCCATACAGCTCACACCCCTGAAGAAGCTCACTCAGTTACTTGCAGCAGTGTCTGGTGCTCCAGCCCAGGATCCCAGCTGCAAAACCAGCCTCCCTCTCACGGTACAGTGGTTGCACGCTTGGTCTGCCCTCAGAAGGGTGCTGGTGCTGGGACTCATGGGAATGGCATCCCATCTAGAACTGGACATTCCTCCTAAGTATGTTGCCATGAGGGCCACGCTCTCCACTGTTATAAGTATAGGTTAAACTACACTAACAAATACCTCAAGCACATGGAGAACACAAGCTGTTCTGCGGCAAAAAGATTCTTCAAATGAGCGACCAGTCTTTGCCGGCATTTCATTTCAAAAGTTTCCAAAAGATTTCTCTACTCTACCAGGTGCTGAGCACACCACCATTGGCCTTTCCTTTTTTCCTGTATCTTTCCATGACACAGGTTGTGTCCCACTCAGAGAGATGAAAAAACCTTGCACCTTGAAACGGGATGGAGTTATTTCTAAAAATCTCCCTCTTTTGTGTCCGGCTATGGCTGAATCATGTCTGCCAAACATGATATACTCCCTAGACTCTTGAAAATTCTTCCGAGGAGTATTTTCTTGTTTCCTTTGGAAAACATCCAGTTGAATCAGTATTTTCTAGACATATTCCCAGGATATGACATCTACCTAAGAAGTCTTCAACAATGCACATGTGGACACAATTCTAAACTAAGAGCTAGCAGCTTCGCAGGATTCCCCTGCCTCTCTCCTCCCTCAGAAACCCCTTGAAGGAGCAAGAAATGACCTAGGTTGGCTGAAGGAGCACAAAGCCACAGGGGAGAGGGATGTCATCTATTTATTTAATGTCATGGTCTGCCCTGCAATACCTGCAAAAAAAATGGTGTTACCTTTTCAGTTGGAAACTGCTTTCAGTATCTTGCGGCACTTCCAGAGCCAAAGTAGCCCTCTCGCACTGATGGACTAGTGGGGAGGGCTTAGGTTCCTGCTACCCCTCCACATGCCTGCTCTGGACTGCAAGAGGGGTAAGCCATTACATTCCTACCTAACTGCCCCCATCCCTCCCTCCTCTTCAAATGGCAGCTGAATTGGGCCATGATAAAGAAGGTAAATAAAACAGCTCTCTGCTTTGGCTCATCTTTGAAAAAGCTTTGAATGGACAGTGGATTTGCCCAGTGGTGTGGGGCTCTTCCTTTATCCATGCTTAAGATAGAAGCCCCCACCTGGAGCAAATGCCACATCCCCTCTGCTCTCCTCAGCATCCATACCCTTCCAGCACATCGTACTGAGCACAGGCTGAGGGGGAGATCTGGAGAGGGTTCCCTTCAGTCTCCATCCCTGCTGGTCTTTAAGGGCAGGCTAGGATCCAATGCCCACCCAATGTTGTTTCCCATTCTTCATCCCTGAGATCCGTTCCAGACTGCATTTCTGTGACTTGCTGCTGGTGCCCAGGGTGTTCCCCACTTGGAGGGCCAGGACCACAAGGACAGCATGGGGGCAGGGGTCCATCTCAGATGGAGATCTCACAAGCACTCTCACTCTGACACCAGAATCATAGAGGCAGGAAGCAAGGGGAAGGATGTGCCTCATTTCACATCCAGACCTCAAACTCATCATTAGGAAGTGGACAAGTGTTACCACTCAGATTTCTGGCCAAAAAGCAGGATGGGCAGGGCTCTGCCAGGTGAGACTAAGGTGGGGAGAGGGAAATACTCAGGGACTTCACAGTTAATTTTACTGAAATCATAGATTACGAGAAAACTGTCACAGAGGTGATTTTCCTCTCCTCTCCTTCTTTGCCTTCCCACATCCTTGCTGCAGAGCATCTGAAGGCCCAGGACACACGATTTGCCCCAGCATTTCTTGTTGCGGTGCTTGGGTGATGAGGATCAAAAGCAGAGCTTTGCCAGCAGAGGCAGAGGCTGTGACAAAGTCCCATCATCTTTTGAAAGCAGCACTGGCCTGCTCCTGCATCCATAGACAGATGGAGAGACAGAAGCACAGCCACTTTATGCAGTGAGTAATTTTTAACCCAGAAACCATAGCAATGGAAAAACCACCACCTTGCAACAAAGAAAACAGCCTGTTGCAATAACCACTGCCAAACATGAGCCCCCATACTAAATATACACCTTCCTTGGTCTTTCATGAACAGCTCTCAGCTTTGCTCTTAGGATGGAAGCTTCTCACCTACCTCATTAAAATTTCATGCCCATGGCCGGCGAGGTCGGACTCCACCTTTCCCCAGACGGTCAGGACATGCTGCCATTCTTGATCACTGAGCCCCATGGTTGACTGAAGGCAGGTCCCAAGTGCTCCCCGCAGCCGTTTGCCTTTCCCCAAAGGGTGGCTGGAGAGTTCACCCGTGGGATTTATAGCCCCTGCTCACAGACCTACACCTGTCAATCGTCAGCTGGACGTCTTGCTCTCTTTCAGGCTTGTCTAACCTAATCAGCCTCCCTATTTTTTTCTAGGAAGCTATTTTGGGTCAGGTGCTATTGTGGGTGCCACTGATGGCATCATTTCTGCTTTTCGTATTGGACTGGCACATGTCCCACTCTAGACAGAAAGGGCACTGCCGAAACACAGTGCCAGGAGCCTGTCCTGGGTTCCGAAGGACCCAGAGACAGTGTCAAGTTGTATGGTAGGAGATTCTTGAAGAACACTGTCATCTGCAAGGCCACTCTGGCTCCCTCGCCCCTGGTCTGCCAAGGGCAGACAGGAGAAGAGGTAGAGATTGCTGGCAGCATTGGCTCCATCACTCCAAAAGCCTTTCCTTTCCCATGTTAAGCTCATTCTCCTTTTCTCTCGGGATAATGCACACTATTTACTAATAGAGAAGCGCACAATGTTAAAAGACACATGTCTTTAAGAGCTAACCATATCCAAAGCAGCTCAGGCATCTCCCCAGCCTCTGCAGGAGGGAGGAAGGGGATAAAAGTTATATGGAAGCCAGTTACCCCACATTTGCCCACTGGGGTCCTTCTACCTGCCTCTCCAGGGAACACTCAGTAGTAGCTGCTGGCTGAGCCTGGATTTTGGAGCCAACAGACGTACAGCTGAGCCAGAAGGGTAGTTTACAGGAGGCCAGAAACAAAAGGACACAGCAGGGCTTCACTCAACACGCTCCCAGCCAGGGGTTAAGGTCTCTGGCTACTTCTGTCAAGGCAAATATCAATGTTGGGAGGAAAAGTCACCAGGCTGACAAACAACGTGGGTATGCTTTGCGACACCTCCCAGCCTTTCTCCTCCAGCCTCCATCAGGACTGATAACAGCCTGGCATGCCAATGGGGCGATTAGTCCCTTCCAGGGGGTGACTGCAGTCAGAGCACAGCCCAATAACAAAGCCCAGCCAGTGCTGCTGTCCAGAAGCACGCACCTACCTCTGGCCGTTTCTGAAGGGGCACGCACACCAGGCCCTGACAGGTGAGAAATGTCAACTGAGGGCTGAAGACCTGCATTGGAGCTTAGGAGTACTGCATGCAACCCCACAGTCCCTACCACAGTGCTGCAGGACCTGAGGTGCATCGCTGCCTCTGCACCCATCCGCCCTTTGCAACGCTAGAACCGTCTCCCTGCTCCAGCCTTGGAAGGGTAGAGAAGTGTCCACATACAGGGGTTAGCATGCAGCAAGGAGGGCCTAGGCACAGAGCCTCACACCCCCCAGAAACACACAGGTGTAAAGGGAATAGCTCAGGTAAGAAGGGTGCCCAAGCCTAGAAGTGCGGGAATTTCGTCTGTTATGTGTAGCAAGCGTCTGTCAGCCAAGTCAACATGCAACTCTGCAATTCTCCTCTCTCCTGTGTACTCCAGTCCGCTTCACATCCAAAAATCCACATCCTAAACAGTTCAAGGCCAAGATTTCATTTTGATCTACCTGCAGGAACACCAGGGCACTACCAATCTACCAATTACCCGAACTAAGCTAAACTGATAGAAGAGAGCTTAGGACTCCTCCAGCTCATTCCTCATGTTGTTCTTCACAGTGCAGGGCTGAGACAGGAGAGATCACATACCTGCAGCCTCACTCCCCAAGTACGTAGGGCAGTAACCAAGCATTTGCACCATCCCAGGCTTGGCCTTGGGTAGGATCCTGAATACTGACCTTACTGTTTTACACGCATTTCAGACACGACAGAAATGTGCTCCTGGTACACGAAAGGCTCCTGCTTATGCACCGAGCTCTGTCCTATTCCCCAAGCTGAAACTACTCAGTTGCCATAATAACTTCATTTGAAGTTGGTCAAGTCTCTGATCCTTGTAGCTTTCCCCAAGAGTGTTTGAAGCCAACAGTCTCACTATGAACATCAATGTTAAATGGTCAGAAGGCTTAAAAAGAGTACGGTACTCCATATTGCTTTTTTTTACAAGTGAACTAGTAATGAAATTAAATCATAAACTCTTCTCCCTAGAGTTTAAAAACATAGTCTGCAGAAATACAAAAAGCTTTACAGCACAACAGATCATGCCTCAACCCTGCAGCTATGAAAAGGATGTAACCTTTTAGTCTCTACAGGCCTCTCTTCTTCCCCTCGGCGCAAAAATCATAGAATGGTTTGGGTTGGAAGGGCCCTTAAAGATCATCTAGTTCCACCCTTGCTGCCATGGGCAGGGAAACCCTCCACTACACCAGGCTG